AGGAATGATTGCTTGTCAGAGGTGTCTTCCAGATACAGCTGGTCCTTAGGTTTTGAGTCTCTAATGACTCTGAGGCTATCTCATTTTCATTATACCAGGAAGGACCACTGACTAGATCAATCACAACACCTTAGCCCAAGTGATACAATCAGAAACACCATAGCATGAAGTACATCTTAGAAAATGACAATTTGTGAAACTTATTAATCTGTCACCTTTAACTGTGTGAATTAAATCAAAATTGAATACCAACCCAACATATGTTTTTAGTGAATAAACTCTTCAATATAGCAATTTTACCCTTTGGGATGGGGAGTTAGAAGGAACTGGGGAGGGAGGGATAGATAGGTAGAAGGATGGGGGAAGGTTAGCAGTGAGGCCAGAGGACACAGGTGAGAGAAGGAAAAAGAGAAGAAAAATAAAGAAGAAATTCAAATTAGGGCCAGAACAGGAATAAAAAGGGAGATGAAGAACAATGTAGGACAGCAAGAGAGTGAGTATGAGAGAGAGAGAAAGGAAAAAAAAAGAAGAGAAAAATAAAAATTTGAAAAGATAGGGAAAAAATTAAAAATAGGAGGGAAAAAAACCCCAATAATAATAATTTTGGAAATAAAAAAAATGAAAATGAAGGGCCTCCTTGAGGGTATGTCTCTGCTGTCACAATAGACAACGTGGGCAGCAGTGTGCAGATATAAGTCAGCGAGTCTCAGCAAGCCAGTTGCAGACCCATGGGATTCAGGCAGATTTCTGGTGGGAAGTCCCAAGTTGAGCTCCTTGTCCTCCTGTAGGGTTGAACTCTGCAAAGTTGTACTGCAGGTTCCAACTGCCCTTCCCTGAAGATAATTCAGGTTCTGATGGCAGGTGATGATCCCTACAACTTACCCAGTATGGTGGTCTGGTGTCCCCTGTGTCTTTGTAGTGTGGAACCAGGTAGCAGTATAGCCAAGAGGCTAGAGTTGGGGGGGGGGGTCCTGCAGGCTCCTGCGCAGCTAAGTGGATCACTGCCATGGGCATGGTCAGTGGCGAGGGGTCCTCAACTTCTGGCAGGTCCCTGCCAGTGTGCCTGGCATGGGAATGGATGGGGTGGGACTCCCAGTGACCCACAACCTCTCTCTCCAGAGCCCCACCAGTGTGCTTGGTGCAGGCTAGATCTGTCTATAATTTTTAACATGAATAAGTAGAAAAGGGCAGGGTTCTAGAGGCCTGAGATGAAATCATGCCTATCTTGCTAGACAATGTGAGTATGCCACTGGGACACTCATGTTCCCTGCCAGGGTCCCTTCCCTACCACTGAGGCCTCCCCTTGCCTGGCCCTTGCTTAGGCCAGCAGTGGAAGCAAAGAGATGTGCACAGAAGCTTCTCGTTGCCTAGATAAGAGCCGATTCCAGAGCAATCCTTAGGACTTGTCATGTAGGCCCATTTGCAGACACTATTTTTCAACTTTTTCTGGCCACGTGACTGGCTTTTATGAAGAGGAGGTAAGAGGGAGTGACACTTGTCACTGCTGGACAGAAGCTTTATGATCCAGTTCACAGCTCCCGACAACCCCTCTCCTACCTGGGTGACTGAGGGAGCCCCATCTGGGCAGGGGTTACTCAATAGTCCCTGAGCCACAGGCCACCTCTGGAGCCCTCCCACAAGCACCCACTTCTGCTAGTCCCCAAGCAGAACTTGGGCAGAACATATGTGGGATGAGCACAATATATACTGAATGCTTACATTTTAAAAAATTTATTGCAGTAAAAAACAGGTCACAATGAATCCCCCTCAAAATACTTCCTCTGGCTTCAAACAGAGTTATACCATCATTTTTGCCACTTTATGAAGCATTCTGGAAGCATTCTTTCGTGAGTGTCTTTATGAGATGTGATGAAAAATATAGTGAATGCTGCTGCCAAGTAACATCTAATGGAAAGGCAGGCTCATAAAAATACTACAATGTGTCTTCATCCACCTTATTCACCAGATCTGGCACTGTTCCACTTCTAGCTCTTCTCCAAAGTCAAAATGACAATGTAAAGTAAATATACTGAATGGATTCAGGACATTCAGGCAGCTGTGATAGCACAACTAAAGACACTTGAGGAGGAAGACATACAGAACTGCTTCAGAAAGCGGCAAGGACAATGGGGTAAGTGTGTTCTAGGAAAAGAGGAGTATTTTGAGGGAGATTAATGGCAATCTGTCCTTTACTGTAATATATTTTCTAAAATATTTAAATATGCACTATACTTTTTGATCACACCTTATATGTGTGTTGAACCAGCAGTGTATGAGGGTATCTGTTACAGCAGCATAAACTGATTCCTACAGCAAAGTCTGATCTACAAGTTCATACATTTGGATGAGCTAACTTAAGAGAAGTAAAGGAGTCACAGTGGGCCTGCAGCTCAGCAGCATGAATGTCAACCCTGAATAGGGTCCTTTCGATGACTCCTAGGGAGGAAGGGGACAGTTGAGAATAGTTCCTCCCCACTGGCTCATAGGCAAAAGATGCTTTTGGAAGCAGGATTTACCTTTCAACTCATTAGGATATCATTAAACATGCTAAATGAGATGAGTAAATATGCTCACACACATACAGCATCTGAAGTGCATTCCTCACCAAAGAACCACCCACTTATAAACCACTTTTTTAAAAGCCTTCTACTGGCTGTCAGTGGTTTTCCAAGTGAGTCCTAAGGAACCCAGAAGAGAAAGGAGGCCCAGGTCACTGTAGGAGGAAGGCATCTTCAACAAAGCTCTTCTTCTTTTTAGCTACTTTCTTCACAGGATGTGCTTTGAGCACTCTTTGTGATTAAAACTTTCTCTGAGTGCCACTGTTCATCTGTACTGGCCGTGTTTCAGAGGGATATGACAGAGCTTCAAGGGGACTGGCCTCAGTCTACAATGAGGACTGGGCAAGCAAAGAAAACAGAAGAAAAGTAAATAATAATCCTCCATTCACTCAGGGACTAAACACACAGATAATGATAATCAACCTATCATTATTTCTAATAAGTCACTAGCATGCAATGTTTTTTCACATGCTTGTTTTGCTAATTATCTTTATCTACAACTGGAACAGAAGCTTCATGAAGGCCAGGGTTGTTGTCTAGTTTTATTGTCTATTAGATTCCTAACATGCAGAATGATGCCTGGTGTGCAGGACATGCTCAGTGGGTTTTTGCTGAACTTCGCCAACTCTTGTATCAACTCCTTGTGTGAGTTACCTCATTTAATTCTCACAATGACTTGTGAGGTGGATGCTATTTCAATCTTGGCTTAAAAATCAAGGACCAAAATAACTGAGACACTGGGAATTTAAATTGCCTGTCCTGGGTAAACAGGAGTAAATGAGGAGACTAGGATAAGACCCCAGCTATAATGAGTGGGAGTTCAAATCTTTATTTAAAATGCAATTGGTGAGCCAGGTGTGGTGGTGCACACCTGTAATTCCAGCAGTCTGGGAGGCTGAGGTAGGAAGATCACAAGATCAAATACAATCCTAGGCAACTTACCAACTTAGGGAGACCCTGTCTCAAAATAAAAAAGGGCTGAGGATGTCATTCAGTGCAAAGCCCCAGGTTCAATCCCTACTACTGCAATAAATAAATAAATAATTGTTTTTAAATGCAAGTAATGATCCAGAATCCTTGAGTCTAAATGAGTTAACAAAACAAGTCAACTGAGATTTCTCCAACCTCTTCTTCCCTGCCTTCAATCAAAGAGGCATTGGGCCAGGGATGTAGCTCAGCAGCTCAGCACCTGCCTGGCAAGCACAAGGTCCTGAGTTCGATCCTTGGTACAAATAAATAAATAAATAAATAAGGAATATTTTCTGTTATCACCTTTACAGATGAAGAAACAGAAGAACAAAAAGGCTGAGAAACAACTTTCAAGTGGTTGAAGTCAGGTGTGAATGCAGGAAATGTAACTGTACACATGTACTAGCTGAACCAAGCATCTGCTTTCAAATGTAACCTTGAAGTCTGCAAGTCTGCATTCTGGCTCTTGTATATGAAAGATTAAGCAGTAGTTCTGAGCTGTGCTGGCTTCTTTCCTGAATATACAAGCACATCTAGTGACAGTATTCCCCAGGGACTAGGAGTTATGTGCCAGTGTGGGCTGGTAGCCCCAGATATTTATGGATCCTACTACATTCTACTACTGCAACAATGAGTGCTAAGGTCTCATGAAATGATAAAACAAGCAACACACAAGAGCTCTGCAGATCTGTTGTGGAGGGTTTTTGTTGTTGTTGCTGTTGTGTTGTTGTTGTTATTGTTGTTTTGGTGTGTATGTGTGAGGGTGTGGGTGTGTATGTGCATGTGTGTTGCTAGAGATTAAACTCTAGGTCTTGTGCATGCTAAACATGCACTCAACCAATGAACCACAACTCCAGCTCAAATCTGTTTGGGGTTTTTTGTTGGGTTTTCTGGTACCAGGGCTCAAACCTATGACCTTCAAACTTTGTTCATCCTCAGCCCATTTTAAATTTGGTTAATTGAGACAAGGTCTCATTAAAAAAATTAAGTTGCCCAGGTTGGGCTCAAATTTGGACTCCTCCTGTTTCAGGTCTCAAGAGTGCTAGGATTACAGTTGTGCCACACTCGCAACTCCAAATCTATAATTTTTAAGCAAACATCTAAGAACTTCTCAAGTTAAAGATTTTTTTGTGTCCTACCAGGGACTAAAACCAGAGCCTTGCACATGCTAGTTAAGCAACTCTCCCACTGAGCTGTAATACAAGGAAACAGTTTACAGTTGTTTTGTTTTATTTGCAAAGAATAACTCTATTAATGATGGTAATGTTCACTGTACATATTCTCAGAAATGCTCTGACAAACAAGGAACCCAGTTGGACTCTCACAGGACCATAGGATTTCACTAACAACAGATTTGTCACTCAGCTGCTCAATTCAGCTGTAGCCAGATGGAAAATGAAATCCAAGGATGAGGCTGGACCTACTGTCACACCCACAGAGAAGTCACTGAGCAGAAACAGAGCAAAGTCTTACCCAGCTGCCACGACAGCCCCAAGGACAATGGTGAAGACGCTGGCCACGATGTCCAGGGAGTAATGCTTCCTGCACAAGGAAGCAAGCAGGGGAGGAAAGAGGAGAACAGAGAAATAAAGATGCAGATTCTGCTTTTAAAACAAACCAATATAACATTTATAGTTTTATAACTAAAATCTAAGTGTTTCACATAGTCACTAAAACTGTAAATCGGAATAATTTATTTTTTAAGCAGTTTTTATAATCTAATTATAAACTAGTATTTCTGTTCTCAGTAGAGAGACACTGGGACAAAACCAGAAGAGGAATTACCTCAAGGTCTGGTTCAAATGGACTTAAATAGAGTAAAGATTTTAAAAGGTGAAATTCAATGCTGAGGCTTAAATCAGTAAACCATCAACTACATTTTATCAATAAGTAATTGTCACAGTAAAACTCACTACTACCTTTCCCAACGTCATCCTAAGTATCCTTATGAGAAATGTTTACACCAATAGTATGAAAATAAATTTAGTCTAATGTTATCATCATTGCATCAGAATCCCTTTCCTTGATATTCTGTACTTGCATCCCATATGTATAGGGATAATTTTTCTTCTGTATTTCAAAACTGGTGTCTATTACATTGGGCTCATCAAATAGATTTATATGTGTTTTGAGATGCTTTTTTTCCTTTATAATTTTATAACAAAAAATGTGTGTTGTCTAATGTAAAATGACAGTTTTAAAACATCCTTCATCAAGTTCTTAGTGGATCATGGAAACAAGCAACTGATTTTAAGTGAATAAACTATTTGTCCTTAGGTAATTACAACAAATAATTCAAATCAACTACCTGAAAAGTTGGCTAGATGGCAAGAATTCCCTGGATAAAAATAATGCAGGGGTAGGAGACACACTAAGAATGAAGAGAAAGGAAAGTGAAATTCACCCAAGTATGATGGTCTCCAGGAGTAGAGTAAGTGGAATGGTAAACTTCCTGAGCACGGTGAACATCGGCAAGCTGTCAGAAAAAGATGTGAGTGAAACATCAGACAACCAGTGTTGGCTGGTCTTCTTGCTTTGAATCTGTCTTACATTTTTAACTAAGTCCACTAATTTTCCAAATTAAGAAATAAATCCTTAAAATTATGGTCAATTGATTTTCAACAAGGGTATCACAATAATACATTGGAGAAAGAAGAGTCTTTCCAACAAATGGTACTGCGACAACTGAATATCCTCACGCAAAAGAGATCAGAGCCAGGCCTAGTGGTGCATATCTATAATCCCAGCATTCTGGGAGGCCAAGGCAGGAGGATCACAAGTTCCAGTTCAGCCTGGGCAAATTAATGATTTAATGAAACCCCGTCTCAAAATACAAAAGGGGCCAGAGAAGTAGATCATTGCAAAGGCCCTAGGTTCAATCCACAGTACAAAAAGAAAGAAAGAAAGAAAGAAAGCAGTTAGCTGAACTCCTACCTAACATCATATATAAAAAATTGACTCAAAATATTTCAAGGACCTAAATGTAAGGAACTAAAATCTCTATAAACTATAAAACTCTTAGAAGATAGCATAGGAATACATTGTCATAACCTTGGCTCAAAGAGTCTTCTTAGATACAACACTAAAAGCACAATCAACAAAAGTAAAATGGACTCCATCAAAATTAAAAACCTGTATAAATGGATATGTAAAATGAGATATATATGTGCAATGGAATATTATTCAGCCTTAAGAAGGAATAAAGTACATTCTATGCAGATGAACCATGAAAACATCATGCTAAGTGAATAAGCCAGACAAAAAAGGACAAATATTGTATGATTCCCATGGTATGAGTTATCTAGAGTAGGCAAGTTTGCAGAGACAGAAAGTAGAATAGAGATTACCAGTAGCTAGGGGGTAAGGGGAATCAGAATTTATTATTTAACTGATACAGAGTTTCTGCTTGGAATGATAAAAAAAAATATGGAAATGGATTGTGGTGGTGGCTACAGAACATTGTGAATATATTTAATGCAACTGAATCGTACATTTAGAATGCCTAAAATGGTAAGTTTTATGTGATGTACATTTCACCTAAATCATTACTTCAATTTTTAGACATTTAAACCTTTGATGCTTTAAAAAACACCATTAAGAGCCGGGGATTTAGCTCAGCGGCAACATGCCTACCTCGCCAAGCACAAGGTCCTGAGTTTGATCCCCAGTACCATAAACGACACCACTAAGAAAATGAAAAGAGGGCCAGGGATTTAGCTCAGTGGTTCTGCCGCCTGCCTCACAAGCACAAGGTCCCAAGTTCGATCCCTGGTACCAAAAAAAATAAGAAAAGAAAATGAAAAGAGCTGGGAGGGGTGGTGCAGGCCTATAATCCCAACACTCAGGAGACTGAGGCAGGAGGATTGCTGTGAGACTGAGGCCAGCCTGGGCTATATAGTGAGTTCAATGACAGCCTGGGCTACACAGTGAGACCCTGTCTCAAGAAAAAAAAAAAAGAAAATGAAAAGAAACTCCAATGCATAGGATCAAATTTTACAAATCATATATATTTTCCCAGAATATATAAAGAGCACTTATAACTCAATAATAATAACAAACCTTATCTAAAAATAGTCAAAGAATCTGAATACACATTTCTCTGAAGAAAATATACAAATGAGCACATGAAAAGATGCTCAACATCATTCGTCATCAGGGAAATATAAATCAAAACACAATGAGATACTGCTTCACAACCACCAGAGTGACTGTAATCAAAGACAGACAAAAATAAATTTGGTAAGGAGGCAGAGAAGTTATAACCCTCATACATTGCTGGTGGAAATACATAATGGTGCTGGTACTTTGGAAAATAGTTAAAGCAGTTCCTACAAGTGCTACAACGAAAATTACGAGATAACTTGGTGAGTCTCCTAAGATTATACTCAATCAATATCAATCCAATTCTTCAAACTCATCAGGCGAAAATCGATGAAGTCATCTTTCTCTTTTACATCCTGAAAGTTATTCGTCATCATATTGTTTCTTTCCTTCAAAATTAGTCAGTGTTCAGATTGTGGCCTCTACATAACATTTAACATTAAAAGTAACCAGGAGATCCTTAGAGAAATAGAAGGAAAAGCGCAAGGTAAGCCCAATACATCATGCAGCACAAAACAAGGACATCAACAAAAACTAGTGGGCCTTAAAAACCAGATGCAACTGAGGGCCAGGGATTTAGCTCAGTGGTTCCAGCACCTGCCTCACAAGTACAAGGTCCTGAGTTCGCTCCCTGGTCCCCCAAAAAAACAGATGCAACTCAAAGGAACTGCCAGTGGCCTGACATGGGACAATTAGAACATTGAAAGAATTATTTTTATAAAGAATGGAAACATATCATATTAATAAAACAAATAGACCAGTAAAAGAAATAGCCTAGAAATAGATCCACACAAATATAGTCAACTGATCTTTGACAAAAAAGCAAAGGCAAGTCATTGGAGAAAAGACAGACTTTTCAACAAGTGATGCTCAAACAAATGGACATCCACAGGCAAACCACTGAATTTACACCTTTCACAAAAGTTAACCCAAAAGGGATCATAAATTTAAATGTGGAGCATAAGCTATAAAACTTCTAGATGATAACATCAAAGAAAATCTAGGTGACCTTGGGTTTGGTGAGAAGTTTCAAATACAACATCAAAAGCACAATCCATGAAAGAAAAAAAACTGATCATGGGCCTTCATTAAGAAGTTCTGCTCTGTGAAAGTCAATAAGTATTAAGAGAATGACAAGATAAGCCACAGACTGAAGAGAAATATTTGCACAACACACATCCGACAAATGACTTATATCAAGCGCATGAAAATCCATGATTCACAATGATAGGAAAAGCCAAAAACAATTTTCAGTGGTCACCACTGAGGGTTAGTGAAGACACTAATTTATCACTTATAACATCCCTAAGAAAAGTTTTATTCTGGAATAGTGCATCTTCACGATAATTATCAATGGCTGGAAAAAACATTAGGAGAAAATTTGAGGGAGCTTTCTACTGAAGATTGACTCCTTAAAAATCATAAAAAGAGGAACTGCTCAATATAATCTCATTCAATGTGGAATGTGGCATTATGTGCCCTATTGGTAATGCCCTAGGAAGAACCCAACATCACCAATAAACAGATCTTGTCTGAAAATTTGAACCTGAATCTGATCAAGCTCCTATAACCAACTACCAGTTTATAGAAAATACATGGGCTAAAGGAATGCATTCCATGACACTCCAAAGAAGCAACAAGTCTCCCTTCCTTCTATCTCTCAGCCTCATTCCCCCTCCTCCCTGAGAAAAGTCTCATGCTACCAAGAAGCTCTGGTCTGTGACAGACCCCTCGGTGCAAAGGGCAGCTGTGATGTTAGTTGAAGCCACATCCTTGGCTACAGAGCATAAGATATAAGAGACTCAGCCACGGGAAGCCTTCATGTAAATGTGAGGTGGGAAAAATGTCCCAGAACTGTCCCAATCCGAGAAGGAAACAACAAACCATATTTTCACTTTTCACAGTGACTTTTAACAAAATTAATCAATCAAAGAACACTGAGGTAAATGTATATCAGAAGCATGTAGCACAAGCTGAAAAATAATGTTTGCTGCTTATTTTTCCCTGCCCACAACTTGACCTATGCCAAATCAGGCAAAATGTTTCTGCTTGTATGAAATGGTGATGACCGCTCCGCAGCCTTTTGGCTAAGATCAAGTATAAAATGGTGATGAAACCAAAAGTTATGCATAATTGAATTCATATAAAGAAATTATCTGGATAAATCATGCCTTTCCTGCCTTGATATCTACAGATCTCATATTCTATGTTGAAATATGAATATAAGAAAAAATAAATTTAACATTCCTAAACACATCATCAAATTAAACTCAGAATGACATGTTACGTTTTGGTTTTTTTTTTGGTACCAGGGATTAAACTCCAGACTTTGTGCTTGCGAGGCAGGTGGCGGCACCACTGAGCTAAATCCCTGGCCAGGCCAAACATGTTACTTTCTTAAATTACAAAATATTATTGCCTTCTGTACATAGCCCAAGCAGTATCTGGGAAAATCAAACATTGTCTTTGAGCCACTGGAAGCCACTGGAAGCCACCGGTGAGGAACCTCCCACCAACCATCATTCTGCACCATACCTTAATTTACCCGTGCTTAATAATCCACTTAAGTGGTTTCCAACGTAGAGGAGAGGCAGAGGAAACAGCTTCAGTTAAAAAAGAAAAGAAAGAATATCTGGTTAGATCTCCAAGAATGTATTCTCCACATGTTCAAAATGGTGACATTTGCATCCCATCAGTAATCAAATCATTTGAGTTCCTTTGCCTGGAATGACTAAATTTTCCAGAATCCAAAATTCATCCAAAAGTTTCCCCAAGTGATCTAAATAGGTAGGTGAATATTGACATCATTTATCCTAGGGAAGAGGGAGGGAGATAACTGTAAAGAACTAAAACCTTACCTTGCCCACATTCGTAGGATCTGGTCAAAGTCCACTGGGGAAGAGGGAACAATCCTGGGCTGAGTTGGGGAGTTAAGGGTGGGTATTTATACTCTCTAGGGAAAGCCTCAGAAGGCTGCAGACTTCTTTCTACACATGTCTGTACTCTTCTGGGCAAAGGTGAACATAACTCTCACAGGAATGTCACCGGTTAGTGGTCCTTTCAAAAAGTTGTATATACTGGCCACATAACTTTGAAATGTATTTGTTTCAAAGGCCTACAATAATTAATTATCTACTACTACATCAAATGATGTCAGAGTTGTACTTGAATTGGGTTCATTGAGCTCTAAGCTTCTGAATTATTTTCTGTCAAAAGAAATACTGTTCAAAGTATATTAACTAAACAAACAAAATGAAAAGTCTATTCTTACATAAGAAAAAAACAGTACCCTTTCTTAAGATAACTCAGAGTTTTCAAAATTGTATAATAATCTATGTCTATCATGGTGACTTCAACATTTATTTTTCCATTAAAACTTTGCAGGGCATGGTAGCAAATGCCTGTAATCCCAGCACTTGGGAGGCTGAGGCAGGTAAATCACCACAAGTTCGAGGCCAGCCCAGGCTACATAGTCAGTTCAAGGCCAGCCTGAACTACATAGTGAGACCCTGTCCCCAAAAAGCAAAAATCAACCCCCAAAAAAGGACATTATGTGTGCAAATCAGATATATTATCCATTGAAACATATGGCAATATTAAGTATCATCCTCCCCAAACTGTTATAAAATTTTATTATCAGGAGATATGCACAAGAAAGAGGCTAGAATTAGACAGTTTCTACAAGTAAATGATAATGCCAGTACAACATACAGGAATCTATGGGACACAATGAAAACAGTTCTACGAGGGAAAATCATAGCAGTGAATCCCCATATTAGGAAAACAGAGAGAAGTCAAATAAACAACCTAATATAGAACCTCAAACTCCTAGAAAAAGAAGAGCATAACAAACCCAAAGCTCATACAAGAGAGGAAATTATAAAGATCAGAGCAGAAATCAATGCAATGGAGACCAAGAGAATGATATAAAAAAATCAATGAATCAAAGAGTTAGTTTTTCAAAAGAATAAATAAAGTTGATAAACCTTTAGCCAACCTTATCAAAAAGAAGGAAAGAAAAGGCTCAAATCCATGCAAATAAGAATGAAAAAGGTGAAGTCACAACAGATCCAGCAGATCATGAATACCTACTTCAAGAACCTGTACTCTAATAAAATGGAAAACACAGAAGAAATGGACTGATTCCTAGATACATACAAATTGCCAAAGTTAAATGAAGAAGATATAGAAATTCTAAACACCCCATTTACAACGAGTGAAATTTAAAATGGAATTAAAACTTTACCAACAAAGAAATGCCCAGGTCCTGATGGCTTCACTGCTGAATTCTACAAGACATTTAGAGAAGATCTATTGCCACTACTTTTTAAAATCTTCAATGAAATTGAAAGGGAAGCAAGGCTTCCAAATTCTTTCCTGGAAGCAAGTGTTACTTTGATTCCAAAACCAGATAAAGGCTCAACCAAAAAAGAGAACTACAGGCCAACCTCCCTAATGAACATAGATGCAAAAATCCTCAACAAGATACTGACAAACAGAATACAGAGGGTCATCAAGAAGATCACATACCCTGACCAAGTCGGATTTATCCCAGGGATGCAAGGATGGTTCAACATCCATAAATCAATAAATGCAATACACTATATTAAGAGCCAAGGACAAAAATCATATGATCATCTCAATAGATGAAGAAAAAAGGATTTGACAAAATCCAACACCCATTCATGATAAAAAAAACCCTATAGAAAATTGGAATAGATGGTCTTTATCTCAACCTGATTGAGGCTATCTATGAAAAACCAACAGCCAACATCATACCAAATGGTCAAAAACTGATAACTTTCATGCTAAAATCAGGAACAAAAAAAGGATGCCCACTATCAGCACTCCTGTTCAATACAGTTGTGGAAACATTAGCCACAGCAATTAGAAAAGAGAAAGAAATAAAAGGAATAAAGACAGGAAAGGAAGAAGTTAAATTATCATTATTTGCTGAAGATATGATAATCTACATAGAAGACCCAAAAACTCTGCCAAAAGACTTCTACACTTATTTGACAGATTCAGTAGAGTGGCTGGATACAAGATCAACACTCAAAAAACAATAGCCTTCTTGTGCACAAATAGCAGACTCACTGAGAGAGAAATTAGGGTAACATTTCCTTTTATAATAGCATCCAAAAAAATGAAATATCTAGGAATCAATCTAACAAAGGAAGCAAAAGACCCCTACATTGAAAACTATAGCACTCTGAAAAAAAGAGATCGAAGAGGATATAAGAATATGGAAAGACATCCCTTGCTCCTGTGTAGGAAGAACCAATATAGTGAAAATGGCCATACTTGCAAAACTCCCATAAACATTCAATGCAATCCCGATTGAAATCCCAACAGTATATTTCACAGAACTAGAGAAAACAATCCAACAATTCATTTGGAACCAGGAAAGACCTAGAATAACAAAAGCAATTCTAGGCAACAGATACATGACAGGGGGTATCACAATCCTCAACTTTAAACTATACTACAAAGCTACTGTGATAAAAACAGCATGGTACTGGCAAAGAAACAGGCT